CACTGCACAACTTGATTAACAATACATCTCAAAAGTGCTGCACAGGTAGAAAGGATTAATAATGTATATAAAAACAAATGAAGTGAAAATTGGGACACGTTAATAAAATCCTATAAAGTACATGGTAATTGTTTAGTTTGACAGGTAGCAAAATAATGACCAGATTCTCTGATGCAGGTGATTATCTTGCTCAGATAATTTAGACACACACAAAAAAATGCAATTTAGGGTATGAACTGCCTGTATTTTCTAGCTACTTTGATTATATACAAATATATGTGTAATATTCATTACTATATTTACATGTACACACATTATCTATGTGTGAATGTTTAAACAGTGTTCTATACTTCAGCCAAAGAAGAACGAGTAGTTGAACAAGTCTAATTTAGTTCTCATTGCACATAGGTGTCTCAGGAGGAAGGTGTTAGAAGCTTTTTCAGGGTTTGGGCTCAGGCTGAGTGGAGGGAGGGTGTGGGAGGAAGCAGGAATTCACTCCAGATTGGATGCTGGTAGAAAACAGGGCTATTTTATAATTTGGAATTTAGGGATTCTTATCTTGAGAGGGAAGACTAGAATGAGAATAAAGCTGTAATTGGTGGAGAACTGGCAGTCCTCATCTTGGCCAAGAGATTGGTGTCTGGTGTTTCCTGGGTGGCAGAGTGACCTTGTTTTTGTCTGAGCTCAGACAAAACTGTGATGTGGCCTTGCTTGGTCATGTGTTGCCCGTGAGAGTGAACTTGTCTGAGGTGAATGTTCTGAGATTCTTCATGTCTGATGGGAGAAGTGCAAGGTCAATCCACAAGAGCCAGGCCAGCTTCTGATGTTGTTATATGGTGAGAAAACAGAGAAGCCACATTTTTCTTTTAATTTTTTACTTCTTTTTGTAATTCATTCTTTCAGACCATGGAAACCACATTTTGAGAGGTTGAATTGGGAATCTTTATTAAAAGGCCAATGAATACAGGCCGACTCTTGTTGTAAAGACCTGTAGCCCGGTGAACACACTTAACCTTGTCAGTAAACTAAGCCACGAAAGCCAGAAGAGGAAAGAAAAAGCAGAAAAACAATACCAGCAAACCGTATCAGCTCCAATGGAGAGTGGAAGTGGGATGCAATGGTGACTGGAGAAGAGTCAGGACACAGGATAGGAAAATGGAACATGTGGTATGGTACAATGGTACCTGAACTGGTCTGGGTCTAAGTAGGGTCAGGGTCACAGGGAGCTTGAGAGTTCACAACCCAAGACTAGCAGGCCTAGTAATCTATTGTCCCAGTCCCCACTCCTGCCTCTAGGAATTCAGGCATGCCTATCACTTGGGAGGTGGGACTTTCCTGCTTCCAACATGAAGAAAAGATGGTGCCACTTAAACCCAATACCCTATTATCTACCATGGGGCCAAGATGACACTGGTTAGATTGAACATCCCTACTTCAATGTTGTGTCTGATCTTTGCCTTTTTGAAATAGTTTCAGTCATCCTGATTCTGGAGATGGAAGATTGCCTTTTTTGGATGACTCAACTTTAGGTAGGGCTGGACAAGAAAGAACATTAAGAGAACAGTTTCCCCACCCAGAAAGAACAATTCAGTACTATTCACCATTCCCCTCCTCTCTCTATCCCAGCCCTGAAGACAGTATTGCTATCTGTTATTGTCACCTGATGAATATTCAGTAATAAAACAAGAAACCTCATGTTTATCATTATAAAAATGAATGTGGGGTTTCATTTTTTATTTATTTAATTATTCTTTTTGCTGGTCTTGGGGATTGAGGCCTGTCCCTGAACCTTTGTGCTCAAAACTAACACTCTACCTCTTGAGCCACAGCTCCATTTCCAGGTTTATGTGACTAATTGGAGATGAGAGTCTCAGGGATCTCAGTCTCCAAAGTAGCTAGGATTACAGGTGTGCATGACTGGTGCCCAGCTCATTTTTTATTTTGAAAGAAATGTTGTTTCAAGTTTGTTTTTTAATAATCAAAAGATTCTTTTATTACCTTTAGTTCAGATTGTTTCTCTATGTTCTGATTACTTCTAAGCATTGCTAAGATAGTTCCCTTCCCCACTATTTTTTTCTTTTGGCTAGGAAATTAACATTTATTGTAGCTGGTATTTAAAAGATCCTCCATGATTCTCAACTTAGAGGTGTTGCGGTTGTATTCTTCTCTTATTCTCTGGAGAACACCTGAAGTCTCTGTGCATGTTAGTGTGACTAGTACAGATGAGCACACAAATTAATTTATGGGCTATTTCATCAAATATTTATAGAAATACAAAATGTTTTATCAAATTAATATAATCATTTCCTTCTAATTTATGGGATTTGGGAATACCACAGCTACCATCACCTCCTATTCGTCTATATAATCATTTACTAAAGAAGGATTAGTCCAATACATGTTATGTGCCCATGCATGTGCCCGTGTATCTTTGCCCTAGATACTAGGCCACTGAGAGGGAGGAAGATTAATAATCCGACATCTGGATTCCTAGGGCTCAGGATGAAATTCCTGCTCAGACAATCACTTATTTCTCTAAATGCTACCTTCTTCCTATATTAAATGCATGACCACAATAATATTTCTTATCCCTTTGGGCTACTGGAGAGCTAAGAGATAATAATACAAGTTGACCACTAGTTTTTGTACTCAGTGAGTCTTTATGGATTTTTTAGGATAAAGTGGTGAGGTACTGGAATGATGTCCTTCCCTCAAGAATTGACTGGCTCTTCTCTCTCATGTGATCAGTGGGAGACTGGAGACATCTCACTTATACTTGAGGTGAGCATAAGGAGGTAGGAGGGCAAAGTATGGAGAAGGCATTGACTGACAGACTTGACAGATGTGGAAAAGTTGTCCTGGTATTGGTGGAAGGTGAGGAAGAAACATTGGGTGCCCTCCTCAGCCAGAGAGGCCTCCTTTCCATTCCTATGTTCTACTATCAGCTCTTGTCTTGCTATCACAGGTACTTAGGAACTATTTTTTGCTAAAAGCATCCACTCCTCACAAAGTCCTACAAATTAACTAAAATTATGAGAATAACCAGGCATCTCAGCTTTTATTTACAGTGTCTCAAATGCTGGGTCTGCTTAACTGTGCACAGGCAACGATAATCAGTCAAGGAATGTCTGTTTAAAATGATGCCTATCTCATTCCCCTTCAAGGCTGAAGATATAAAGAGTAACTAAGGAATCTTATTGTCATTGTTCATAATGTCTTATTCTAGACAATCACAGCCCCTGGGGGGAAAATGTCTCCAAGTTTCCAGTCATTATTCTAACCTGTAGCCACCTTGATTCTTGGAACAGCAGAGCCTTACACTCAGTACTCCATGAAAAGATTACCTCAGTGCATGAGGTAATATACTAATGTCATGAGATTCAGGTATAAATAGAGGAAAAATTGGGGTGAGGCAAAAAGTATGCACAATTAAGCAGTTTTGGTCAAACTGGTCCTTTTGATAATCTCATCTTGGCAGCTAAAAGGGATTTTTGTTGTTGCTCCCTTGGGCAATGGTCGCTCATGCTGTAATCCTAGCTACTCAGGAGGCTGAGATCTGAGGATCTTGGTTTGAAGATAGCTCAGGTAGGAAAGTCTGTGAGACTCTTATCTCCAATTAACTACCCAAAGCCAGAAGTAAAGCTTGGATTCAAGTAGTAAAGTATTCCCAGTACCCAAACAACAACAACAGAAACCCTTTTCCACTAAGATGAGATTATCCCAAAAGGATCAGTTTGTCCAAAACTGCTTAATTATGCATACTTTTTGCCTTATCCCAATTTTTCCCCTATTTACACCTGAATCTTATATAAGACAGTAGCATATGCAGATGGGCTGAAGTAATTTGCCTTCATAATTTGGCTTTTTTTTTTTTTCTAAGTTGTTTGTTCCAGTCCTGTGTCTGACACTCTTGCTGAGCTTTCTTGTTCATTGGCTGGTGCTATAACTTGACCTACAGCTCCAACCTGTATTTTGCTGGTTAATTGGAGATGGAGTCTCAATGATTTTTTTTTTCCTGCCTGGATTGGCTTTGAATTGTAATCTTCCACTTCTCAGCCAGCTTGATAACTAGATATAGCTCAGCATTGCTTTTTCCTTTTTTTTTGGTGTGTGTGTGGGGTGTCTAGTTTAGGAACTCCTTAAGTCAATCCATAGGAAACAGCTAATCTACTGAAATGGAGAGCTATAGAAATCTTCAAGATTAAACATGGACTTGAATTTGCATGGGAAAATTCTGAAGAAATGTAGCCATTAAATGTGGGATCTGAGGTGCGCGTGTGTGTGGGTGGGGGATATACGTCTCTATAAAGTATAAAATAAATTATTTCTAAAAACCACGTCTCAAGGATTAAATTTTTTAATTAAAATTTATTTTTCAAAAGTTTCAAACTCTTCCAAATGCACGTCCCTAAACTTTCTAAACCTCACCCTTCAAATGGCTTGTTAACCTATTAGAATGAGTTCTCCAAAAAAATAAATTTCTACCTGGAGCCCTCATCTGTGCACCTCTCTTTGTTATTATTATTTTTTCCTGGAGTGGGACCTGAACTCAGGCCCTCTGGGCGATGTCCCCGAGCCTCTTTGAGCTCAAGGCGAGCACTCTACCACTAGAGCCCCGAGCTACTTCTGGTTTTTGAGTCTTATTGAAGAGTCTGGGGGGGGGGGGGGGCTTTTCTGCCCAAGCTGGATTCACACCACGATTCCCAGATCTCAGCCTCCTGAGTAGCTAGGATGACAGGCGTGAGCCACCGGCGCCTGGCTGTGCACCAACAATGAGGGTTCAAGACTACAGGCTCACAAAGAATAAGGCATATGCTTCCTTTGTTAAGTGTGAGAAGTGGCGGGGCCACTCGTCCTGCATTCCCCCTCCCCAGCCCCCTCAGCCTCCCACATCCCCAACTCGCAGGAGCCTGCTCAGGCGCAGGACCGCGCGCCTGGGCCCGGGCGCCTCCGCCCGCCGCGTCCCCAGGCCACCCCCACAATGCCCCGCGCCGCGTCACCCGTCACTCACGGCCCCGGGGCGCGCGCGAAGCTCCTTTCATTGGCGGGAAAACGCGGGGGAAAGGGAGGTCGGGACCCGCCCCGCTGCCGGCCGGCCACCGCCGCCGAGTCGCGCTGCCAAAGCTCGGCGCTAAATTTGAAAATAAAACCCGAGCGCGGGCGGGTCCTGGAAGCAGAACCACCCGCCCGGGAGCGGCCGGGTCCTCAGCCCGGGACAGACTCCGTTCTCGCCGTCTCCGGCAGGACGCGCGCGCGGCCCGGGAGGACGAGGAGGAGGGCGGCATGGCCGCAGGCGTGGACTGCGGGGACGCGGCCGGGGCCGGGCAGCATGTGTTCTTGCTTCCAGGTAAGCCCGGCGGGACGGCGGCTCCGAGCGGGGACGGCGGGCGTGGGTTTCCTGCCATGACCCCCCCCTTCCCGCCCTCTCCCTTCACCTCGGTGTGGGGGGGGGGAGGGAGAACCCGAGGCTCCGCTTCCTTGGGGACGTCTGGGTCACGTGGTGTGTCCCGTCGCGCGGCTTCTAACCCGGAAGTGCAGGGTGGAGCTCTCGAGTCCCTGGGGATTGGGTTGGCAGGACCGAGTTTTGGGTTTCTAGAGTGTTGCAGTGGCACTCAGGCTCCGTGTGTGTGTGTGTGTGTGTGTGTGTGTGTGTGCGCGCGCGCGCGCTGCAGTGGCACCCAGGCTGTGTGTGTGTGTGTGTTGGTCCTGGGGTTTGAATTCAGGGTCTAGGCACTGTCCATTTTTGGGGGGTGGGGTGGTTAGTTGGAGATCAGAATCTCACGGACTTTCCTGTGGGAGCTGGTCTTGAATCGCGATCTTCAGATCTCAGTTTCCTCCGTAGGTAGGATTACTACAGGAGTGAGCCACCAGCGCTTTGCTAACTCTGCCCTTTTGGGTAATTTGGTGTCCCTTCCTACCCGGCAGCTTGAAAGGGGTCTTACTGGATTGGATCTGAGGGCCCACGAAGTGGCCTGGGAGAGTGCTTTGTTGCTTTAACGTGGCTCAGGCCTGGGATAGAACTGAATAGAGATTGCTGTTAGGCCAAGAGGGGGTCAAAAAATTCCTGAGAGTTAAGACCACCAGAGCCAGGCCCTTGGGCCTCTCTGTAGGTGGTGAGCAGCCATCCAGGGCATGTAGGGGCTGGGAACATTGGGCAATCCAGTGCCACAGAGTAAAAATTTGGACTGGAATCAAGCCAGGAATGTTTGTCTTTTAGATGATACAGTTGGTGGGATCATATTGGAAGAAAGGAAAAAGAGCCTTTGCTAACTATATTTAATTTTGTATTATGCGAAGTCGACTCCAATATGATATGACAAAATTGCCCACTACTCTAGAGTGTGTGTACTGAAAATCGTTGTAGGATAGTCATGCATTTTGCATGTTTAACATCCCCACACTTTTTTTTCAGTGTATAAGTTTATTGATTTTTTTTAAACATGCAGATGACATGAAGGACCAAAATTTTTCTTTGACGTTAATTTTCTTGAAGAACTCCACTCCCATTACTTGATATCTTTGATTCTGTGTCTCATCCTCTCAAGCCAGCATTTCAGTATACCGTTTATATTTTTTTATTGTCAAAGTGATGTATCGAGGGTTACACTTAATGTAAGTAAGGTAATAAGTGCCTTACACTTTCTAGTTAACATATAAGAAAAATGAAAGGACAGATTTACTTAAACCCTTCCAACTTTTCATATGTCATGGCTTATGGCAAGAGATAGAACTTCACCCAGCAGCATTTTGTCTCTCTAAGCTGACCTCTTCTTGCACCAGAGATTAGTTTTGCGCGTTTGGATACTAACATACTCCTTGCATTGTGTCTATACTATCCATCCATGTTGCATGCAGCAATTGGTTGGTTGGTTGATTGGTTGATTTTTTTCATTGCTGCTTGGAGTTCATTATGAATGTCAATCTAATTGGTTGGTTTCAAATTTGTAATTAAGAATATTGCCACCCATTTCTCTAGGATGTCACTACCCTGGAGTGGAATGGCTTGTTACTTAGTTTTGGAAGCCACTCCAAAATGATTTTTCAAAGTGGTTATACCGATCTGCACTCTTGCCAGAAGAGCAGGAGAGTTCCTGTTGTTCCACATCCTCAATGAAGGTGTTTGGATGGAAAAACAGCTAATAAGAAACTGAGGGTTTTGACAGACTCTAGCAAAGGGCTAGCTACATCACTGCTTTTCGTTGGGAAAAAAATAATACATACTCTTTGTCATACCAGTACAGTTCGATTTTTCATAGTAGGAAACACCTTTTGGAATCAAGTTCATTGCTTTATTCAAATGTGTAGGATACCTGATGATAATTTGTGTTTCTAATTTTGTCATCTGTTTTTATCAATACTGTTATCTTCATTCTTTGTTTCATATTGTCATGGTAAATCCAAATTAAATGTTGAGTATGTCCCTGAAATCAATGAGTTTAATATATCTCTTGCACCATAGTAAGAATTTTAGGCTAGTTCTGGTGTTGAGTTGAGCTGTATTGTCACTTGCTAACACATTAGGGTGGGAAAGTGGCAGTTAAAGAACTGATAGCAACCTGTGGTCAAGGGTCAGGGAGGAGCATGGTGTTTTATAGAAGTTAAAACTTGAGCTTCTTTCTGTTCTTCCAGCTGGCCTTTAGTGCCACCTGCAGGCTCTCAGGATACAAACATGATTTGGTAGCTATGAAAGTGTGACAGTGGGTTTCCAAACTTGAAGGCATCAGTCACCTGGGAGCCAATCCTCTCTCCTTCCTCCCGAAGAGCAGTAGATCCTGAGCTAGGACTCAAGAATGAGCTTTTAAAACAAGTTCCCAGATGCTGCTGCTGTGATAGGTCTTGAGATCCACTCCTGGGAACCAATATAGTGAGGACCGGCCCTTGGGAGCTACATTAGGATGTAGGCATCCCAAATAGCCCAGGTTGGGCTGTTTGTTTGATGGCGGGCCAAAGTTTGCATGATTAGGAAGTACATGGCAGTAGGGAGTATGAGGCTGGCTTTCACAGTATTTATTGTGTTTTTCTTTTTTTCTTTTTTTTTTTGCTAATCCTGGGAATTGAACTCAGAGCCTGGGCAATGCCCCTGAGCTTCTTTTGCTCAAGGCTAGCACTCTACCACTTGAGCCACAGTGCCACTTCCAGATTTTTCTGCTTATGTGGTAGTGAGGAATTGAACCCAGGGTTTCATGCATGCTAGGCAAGCACTTTACCACTAAGCCACCTTCCTAACCTTTATTTTTTTTTATTTTTTATTTTTTTACTACTACCAGCAAGTAGAAATTTATCCCAGGTGGTTAGAAAGGCAGGAGACGTGCTGAGCTAGCAAAGTAGCTACAGTGAAACTAGGCTTTAATAAAGTAAAGATTATATAAACATTTTCAAGAATATTTGATGGAGGTAATTTGTACTCAGTTTTAGAAAACTTTTAGAATCTGAAGAACTCACTTGGTATGGAAAAGTGAGTGCATTATCCAACATTATTCACAAGCCAGTAGAGCTCTGTGGAGATTTATCCATGAGACCATCAAGACCACGTGGCTGATGATCGTCTTTTTCCACTATTTTTAATTCGTATCATAGCACTATGTATTATCATGAAGGAGTTTGGGTTTAGGTCCATTTGCCTCTAGTTTGTAATTTTGTTTAAAGTTGAGTATTCCAGTTAAACCAAAGCTGGAATTTAGAAAGGAGGCTGTAAGATATTCAGACTCAGGACCTTAATTTCCATAGGCAGGTGGAGACAGAACCACTTACAATTTAAGCAAGATAAACACTTCTTTTCCTTTGGAATGATCTTCTATGTTTCCAGCATGGCTTGGAAATATTAGGTTGTATGTAGTTCTTTTATTTCAGAGGCCATTGACATCTCTACTTTTTGGAACATGTTAGAAGTTTCCATCCCTCTCTTGACCTAAAAGGAAATACTTGAGTTGTATTTTATATAATTTTCTCTGGTTGGAATTGTGTGTCCAAGTTCTGTATACTTGTCAGTTCTACGAAGCTGGGATGGACCTGGGTATGAGGGTCAGCTGGGAACACATTGAGTGTACAGTAAGAGATTATGGGTATTGCAAGCTGAATCTGCCACAGATATCAGGGCTGAACTAATAACAGGAGTCACTTTCAGCAAATACTAAGACAATGGGAAATCCTAATGTTATTTGAGGAAAAATAGAAAGAATAGAAATGATATCAAGACCATTTTGAAACTCTCAAACCTCATTTGGGTCCATTTAACCTGATCATAAAATGACCCCGAAGCAAGAGTAAAAAGTCCCTAGAAGCAACTGAACTTTCAGTTATAGACAAGTTTTGGTGTAAAATTCTCTCTTTATTTTTATTTTATTTTTGCCAGTCCTGGGGCCTGAACTCTAGGCCTGGGCGCTGTCCCTCAGCTCTTCAGCTCAAGATTAGCGCATTACCACTTGAGGCCAGAGCCACTTCTGGCTTTTTCTGCTTATGTGGTGCTGAGGAAATGAACCCAAGGCCTCATGCATGCAAGGCAAGCACTCTGCCACTGAGCCACCTTCCCAGCCCTTCTCTTTATTTTATTTTAGAAAAATATGTGTTAAAAGATATCTTAGGAAAGATCATACTTGTTATTTATTTCCCTACAGGGAGCACAAGTGATAGTTTCTTGTGGGTGGAATATGGTTAGTTTTGGGGAGATAAGGCTCCCAGGTCTGAGGACCAGAGACATTTCAAATTCAGTGGCATCTTTTAAGATGGAACATCCTGATAATCACAAGTACTAATATGAGAGTTGCCTTTCCAAATGCACATTTACACTTTAGAACTATATTCTCATTAAAATATTTAAACAATGAAATTTCCAAATTAATTTTCCTGTTTATAGTGATGGAGGAAATTTATGTTGTTGTTGTTCTGATTGTAGTCTTGTTGCCTTAATATATATATATACACATATATACATATATATACGTATATACGTATATATACGTACATATATATATATATATATATATATATATATGCCTAAAAGAAGCACCTCTTGTTTGGGAGAGGATTTTTTAAAAAGGAAGGAAATGTGTAAAAATTTAGAGCAAAAGAAGGACTACTGTAGACACCCTTGATTTTTCATTGGCCCTAAAACACAAAAACAACTTTTTTTCCTCTTTAACCTGAGGATCAGGCATGTGGATAATAGCAGAAGAAAAGTTGAAGCAGGTTGCTGTTTGTATATGTATATGTATGTTTGTGCTTAGAAATATTCCTCATGGCTGAATCTTGCTTTATTTTAAGAAGAGCTTATTCAAATGGAAGAAGCTGCTCTTCCCTTGGCAATGTGGCCAATCCAAGCTCAAAGTTGAGACAAGCTGTGTAGAGCTT